GATGTTGCACTTAAATGGTCTTCCTAGATCTGGAACCAATATTTACCAAAGACCTATAATTTCTTAGAAGTGGCAAAAGATTAACATTTATTATTAGTTTTTGACTGAAACGCATCTATATGAGATACAGACATTTGACTATATTCGTTAACGAAATAGTCAGAACTGCGTCTTTCCTGTATTTGTGAATCCTCGAAAAAGTCTCTGGAATGGACATTTTCGTATTTTGTCTACAAAAGTTGGCAAACTATTTCACACATTGATTATTTTTGGATGGCCATCCAAAACTGCTTGGCTTTTGCAATGTCCGGTAACCCCCTTTCAAATGTGCGTGAGGATCGGGCGATAATTACGACCTGCCGACAATTTTGCAGTTTTTTGGTCCATTTCAACCCCTAAATATATGGCGATCATCTCCAAAAAGAGTAGGCTTCTATTCTGACCCTCATCTTATCCCCATGCAAAATTTCGTAAGGATCGGGCCATAAATGCGATCTGTATATGATATCCTGATATCCTAACTACTTAGTTTTGTTAGCTGTAGAAATATTACCAAATGTTTAATTCAAAATGAAAATATGCCAAAAATATGAAAAAATTGAAAAAATATGAGAAAATTTTACAAAATCAATATTTTCATCTTTAGAGAGATATTTTTATGCGATTTTTTTAGACGTTTTTTCTTTCCTGCCAAGAGGCCATTCTGAATTAATGAGAACTGTCGAAATCAGTTCAGCCGTTCTCGACATATAAGAGATCTTTCAAGCATATCTTCTTTGATAGACATGTATATCGCACATATTTTGCTATATATCCGATTTGTTGGATGTTAACATCAATGTAAAGGTCAGAAGTAACCTTGTCATGGCTTTGCGATTTCGCCGGGATTTAAAATATTCGCGGTTTAATGAAAAACTTTGAATTTTTTCAACACAAAATATATGGTCTATTTTACCCGCTAAATATTATCCGATGACCACCCAAATTGGTAGGCTTCTTCCCCGTCCTAAACTCTAGCTACATGCGAAATTCCGCGTCGATTGGTCATTAATTGCGACCTGTATAGCTACTGCAAAATCCGACATTTTTTCAGTATTTGGTCCATTTCAACCCCTAAACATTTGGCGATCATCTCGAAAAGAAATAGGGTTCTATTCTGGCCCAACCCCGACCTCCATTCCAAATTTCGTGAAGATCGGGCCATAATTGCGACCTGTAGAGTGATTACAAATTAACATGGACAGACGGACAGACGGACAGACGGACGGACGGACATACATAGCTAGATCGACTCAGTTCGGCGAGCTAGGATGATCCATATATACTTTCCTATGTGGGAAACCAATATTTCGTGGTGTTACATAATTTTTGGCCCAATCAAACTTATAATACCCCCAACACATAGTGTTGTAGGGTATAAAAACTTATAATACCCCCAACACATAGTGTTGTAGGGTATAAAAACAGTAAAGAAAGTCCTAAAGTCGGGCCGGGCCGACTTTATGATACCCTACACCACTTTGCTTATTTAGTAGAGCTCCGCATAACAATTAAACGTTTTTATGGGAACCAATCTCAATCATAGACGCTATGATTATAATTTAAAGTTCAAAGGACTAAATATGCCGAAGCATTTGCTATATCCGAATCCGAACCGATCTCGACAGAATTTGGCAAAGATATTTCTGAGCTGTATTTGATATATTTTCCTGAATACCCTTGTTATGGAGTGCATATTACGGATGTGGGTAACAAATACAACAAATCGGATGAACAATATATATATGGGAGCTATAGCTATATCTGAACCGATCTTCACCAAATTTGGCATAGTAGCTTCTAGACTCAATTCGGTCGTATTCCATCCCATTTTGGCAAATATTAGACATTTGGTGCATACAATAAATAAATAAATCGAACGAAGTTATATATGGGAGCTATATCCAAATCTGAACCGATCTCGATAAAATTTAGCAAATGTATTTCTGAGCTATATTTGATATATTTCCCCAAATATTGTTCTTAAAGAGTGCATATTACAGCTGCGGAGGACAAAAATAACAAATCGGATGAACAATATATATGGAAGCTATAGCTATGTCTGAACCGATTTCGATCAAATTTCGCATACTTATTTTCAGGTCTAATTTTGTTGTATATGAAAAATTCCCTACTATTCGGGCTGATATTACACGTTTTGTGCACAATAAAGGGCAAATCGGACGAAGATATATATGGGAGCTATATCTAAATTTTTACCGATTATCTCCAATTTCAATAGAGTTCGTCCTTGGGCCATACAAATGGTTTTTGCAAAATTTTATCGGGATAGGACAATAAATGCGAACTGTACTTTGTCTACAAAAATACATGGACAGACATACAGACGGAAGGACATGCACAAGTCGACTCAGAATGTGATTCTATGCAGATCGTCAAAGGAACTATGGGTCTATCTCGTTTCCTTTAGCCTGTTACAAGCAAATGCACGAAGACATAATACCCTGACCACCTTGTGGTGTAGGGTATAAAAATCCGTCGAAAAATACCGCTCAAATAAAAAAATCAGTCATAGACTGTAATAACGTTTCCATACTTCGAATACGAATTTCGAAACAATTCCGGCAAATGATGTCGCTAAAAAATACCGAATAAAGGGAGGTACTGTTGTATGGGGGCTATATTAAGACGTGGACCTGCATAGATAATTTTCCGTCATAGGTTGTAGTACCCGTTACGAAATTCAAATACGAAATTTGACGCAATTCCGGTGAATAATGTCACGAAAATCCTGGAAATACCGAATATCTCGGGGTAGTATTATGTGGGTGCTATACTAAAACATAGACCTATATAGACAATTTTCGTTTTATGGATTTTTAGACAATTCTATTGGAAAATGGGGCTAAAATATCGAATATCGAGGGGCACCATTGTATTGGGGCTAAGGATAATTTTCTATACCGTGGACCTATATATAAAAATTCTCTTTCGGGAAGTAAAGTACTCACAGAACCATGACTTTAAAAAATGTAACTGAAATCATAAGTTATATGGGGGATATACGACCTACGACAATTTTCTTGCAGTGGTTAAAATACTCAGTAGGAACTCTTTGTGTGGATTTTAATCCAATTCCATTGAAAACGTGGCTAAAATCATCGAAATACCCAATGTCGGGGAACATTGTATGGGGGTTATACGATATCGTGGATCTATATAGATAATTTCTCTTTCAGGAGGTAAAGTACTCACAGAGAACTCCTTGTGTAGAACTTCAGATAGTTCATATAAAAATGTCGCTAAAATCATCGAAATACCGAATATCGGGACGTAAAATTATATGAGGGATATACGATATTGTGGACCTATATAGACAATTCTTTTTCAGGGGGTAAAGTAGTTACGAGAAACTCCTAGTGTAGAATTTTAGACAATTCTATTGAAAAATGTTTTTATACCCTCCACCATAGTATGGAGGGTATATTAAGTTTGTCACTCCGTTTGTAACACCTCGAAATACACATTTTAGACCCAACAAAGTATATATATCCTTGATCAGCATAAAATTCTATGACGATTTATCGAGCAAGCTTCCGAACGAATTGAAGTAGATTGATAAAACTTTGCTCAAATGAATGTTATGTCTGCAGAACTTTTGGTATTGAAAATGGGCCATGTAGGTCCATGTTTTGGTAGGCCCTCATATAACGGTACCTTCTGATACTCGGTATTTTAATAGTTTTAGCAACATAATTCACCGGCATTGTTTCAAATATATTATTTGTAGTTCGTAATGGATACTACAGCCTAAGACAGAAAATTGTCTGTGCAGGTCCACGTCTTCGTATAGTCCCCATATAACGGTACCTCCCGATATTCGGTATTTTGATGATTTTAGCGAATTTATTCACCGGAATTGTTTCAAATTTGGTATTTGAGGTTCGTAATGGATACTACAGCCAAATACAGAAAATTGTCTGTGCAGGTCCACGTCTTTGTATAGCCCCCATAATACGGTACCTCCCGATATTCGGTATATTGTTTTCGGTATATATAACCAATTTTGTTTGAGTTTTGCATTTGAATATTGTAATGGCTTATGTCAAATGTTACCTGCGCAAGTTCATGTCGTCGTATAGACCCTAATATAACTGTTACATTGGGTATTTTTAAGATTTTAACAGAATTTTTAACGGATTTTATTGTTTTTGAGAATTGCCAAATTCCTTCCAAATTGTGGAGGGAATTCAATGTTCGGCCCGGCTGAACTTACGGCTTTTTTACATGTTAAAATCATCAAAATATTTAATATCTGGGTTAATATTATATGGGGGCTATACGATATCTTGAACCTATATAGACAATTCTCTTTCATCAAAATACCGAATGTCGGAGGGTACCGTTATATGGAGGCCATTCGATATCGTGGACCGATATAGCCCATCTTCCAACTTGACCTGCCTTCACACAAAAGACGGATCTGTGAAAAAAATTAGCTTCCTATCTTAATTTGATTTGACAGACGGGGCTAAATCGTCTTAGAATTTTACGCTGATTATATATAGTTTGTTGGGTCTAAAATTATTATTTCGATGAGTTACAAGCGGAATGACGAAATTAATATACTTTCTATACCATGTATGGTGAAGGGTATAAAAATCAACTTGATGCACTTGTTATTGGTAAATTTGAATTTACAAGAATCTAGCTTCAAGGTTAAGTTTTCAAATTTATTCATTCTTCCCTAACTTGCAACTATTATGCCATCTAATATACCTTTAGCGTCTAACGTGAATGGAGTTACAAATGAAATGAAAAAGTTAATATACCCTCCATAGTATTGTGGACGATATAAAAAAGGTATGTTATGTTAACGATATAGATTGTGACTTTATACTAATTCGAAATCATTTAGTTTCCCTAATACAGTAAGCCATGAATTTATTCGAGTATTGTAGAAATTTAAATTCGCAGTAGGCTGAAAAAAAAAAAAAAAATATTTTTTTACACATATATACAAATAAAATTTTCATTTGATAGACATTGAAAATAAGAGAACAAAAATCAAAAAAAGAGGAATTCTATGGATTCAGAGGAATACGATCTTGAAGAAAATGTATATTCTTAAACAAGAAAGAGAAGCTAACATAATATAATTAAAAATTCACAACATTCTAATGGGATTCAAATGATTCAAGACCTATGTCCGAATGTAAGCTATCAGGTTAGTCGCATTGCATTTACATATATGCGGAGGGAAATGTTTACATTTTAGTCAACTTTTTTTCAATCTTCGATGGTGTAAAGAAGAAATAAAGAAACAAGACCCTCAATATTCCCGATGCAATATATCTTCGTATGATGTTCACCGCTTCATCCTTTGAAATTAAGACTACAACTAATTCTAACATATTTTCGGAAATCGCAATGCTCATATGAGTCGATTTTATACCTCAAATAGAATAGTGGCTTCAAATTCCCCTCGTCAACCGGCCTTGGAATATTTTGGTAAGTCCAATTCAAAATAACGTTAATTTTATAAATATTATTGCAACTCCAAACACATTTCCGTCAAATACGACAATTCATTTATTTCTTCTTTCATATTGGTCAGATTTCAATTTTATTTTAATTGTTAAATTTAATTACGATATTTTTACTTTTGTAATTTGATAGACCCTTTTGGATTACATCCAGAGTCTATGGTTAAGAAAATGGGTCATATCGGTCCACTTTTTCGAATTTCCCTCATGTACGGATAACTCAGATTTCAAATATATTTTAGTTTTGCAGAAATTAAACAGAAAATTTCGAAAGTAATTGAAATCGGAGTTATCCTTACATGCGTACTATTCCAAAAAGTCGATCAATGTGACCCATTCTCTGTACCAATGATTCTGCATGTAGTCCAAAAGAATCTATCAAATTACAAAGTTGTGAAATATATCTCAAACTATCGGATATTGTGTATTATCAGAATTATGGAAAGGCCTTAACAACGGTTGGACTAAGAAACCAAAACTACTTTGGAGTTTCTGACATTCACACAAATACTATTGTATCATATCTACCTGGAATTTTTCACAACACAGACTGGCTACTGTACAATGGAATTAAAGCAAATTTGCAACGAATTGAGAAAAGTGATAAACAGGTTAGCAAAATTGAAAAAACTCTCTGTAGCATAAAATTGTGTATATATAGGTTCCTGTTTTGATATGACCCCCTCCCACTTTATTGTTTTTTAACTTTGCCGCATTCTGCAACATAATATAATTTTGTTGGAGATTTTGACTTGCATCCCTTTTAAATTTTTTTTAAAAAATGACCAAAAAGAGCAGAATTATTCCTCGAATTTACATCTGCAATATGCAGATGCATATTACGGCTGTGGGTAACAAATACAACAAATCGGATGAACAATATATATGGGAGCTATAGCTATATCTGAACTGATCTTCACCATATTTGGCATACTAGTTTCTAGACTCAATTCGGTCGCATGTGCCAAATTCCATCCCATTTGGGCAAATATTAAACGCTTGATGAACATTTAAAAGTAAATCGGACGAAGTTATATATGGGAGTTATATCCAACTCTGAACCGATCTCGATAAAATTTAGCAAATGAATTTCTGAGCTGTATTTAATATATTTCCCCAAATATTGTTGTTACAGAGTGCATATTACGGCGGCGGAGGACAAAAATGACAAATCAAATATATATGGGAGCTATAGCTATACCTGCACCGATTTCACCAAATTTGGCATACCTATTTCCAGGCCTAATTTGGTTATATGTGCAAAATTCCATACTATTCGGGCTGATATTATACGTTTGGTGCACAATAAAAGGCAAATCGGACGAAGATATATATGGGAGAGATATCTAAATTTTTACCGATTATCTCTAATTTCAATAGGGTTCGCCCTGGGGCCAAACAAAAGTTGTTTGGAAAATTTCATCTTAATCGGGTAATAAGTGCGACCTTCATTTTGTTCACAGAATACATACGGACGGACAGACATGCATAAATCAGCTCAGAAAGTTATTCTATGCATATCATCAAAAGGAACTATGGGTCTATCTCGTTTCCTTTTGCCTGTTACAAACAAATGCACAAAGACATAATACCCTGACCACATTGTGGTGTAGGGTATTAAAACAGCGTGGTCCAGTGTGCGCCGGACATGGCTCTATCGACATAGATGTGCCGATTATTACTTTATATGGACGTAACAAACAGAATGACCTGCTTAAAGGGGAGATCTTGAAATTTTTCTAAATAAATCCTTCGAAAAATACCACTTAAATGAAACCCGTTATAGGGAGGCTATACGAAGACTTGGACCTGCATAAGTAATATTTTGTCATATGCTGTAAAACCGATTCCGAACTTCAAATACGAAATTTGAAACCATTATATGTGGGCTATACGATATAGTGAATCTATATGGACAATTATCTTCCAGGGTACTCAGAAGGAAGTCCTGCTGTGGATTTTGAGACGATTCCATTAAAAAAATTGGCTAAAATCACCAAAATACCACATTTCGGGCGGGATATGAGGAATATACGATATCGTACACCTATGTAGACAATTCTCTTCCAGGGGATAAAGTACTCAGAATGAACGCCTTGTGTGGATTTTTGGACAATTCCATTGAAAAATGTGACAAAAGTCATGAAAATATCGAATAATAGCAGGTTCGGTTATATGGGGGATATATCATATTGCGTGTCAGAATTTTACGCTGATCAAGAATATACTTTGTTAGGTCTAAAATTATGATTTCGATGAGTTACAAACGGAATGACGATTTTAATATACCCTCCATGCTATGTATAGTGAAGGGTATAAAAGTTAGTTTGTATACATTACGTATCTGCAATTTGATCTCACTTTTGACCACTTTACATAGCGAAAACTAAGTTATACAGGGCGAGATAAAAAAGATTGCAACAAAGTCAAATGCCACAATTTTTACATTTTTTTAGTTTAGATTAGAGTTTAGATTTGTTGAAATTGGTCACCTTGGCACGAATTATGGCCTTCAAACAGCCAATGAAACCGTCACACGCTGCCCGAATGCTGCTGTGCGGTATTTTGGCTCATTCCCGGCGAAGTGCTTGCTTGAGGTGAGCGACACTTTTGTATTTTTTAGTGCCAACCTTGCTTTTTAAAATACTCCAGACACAATAGTCCAACGGATTGGTATCCGGAGATTTTGGTGACCATTGTGTTCTGGAAATGAAGCGAGGAACCTCATTTTGAAACCATTCTTGGGTGGCACGTGCAGAGTGCGCTGATGCTGAGTCCTGTTGGAATGTCCAAGGTCTGCGGCCAAAATGTTTACGTGTCCCTCCAGAATATTTTAGTGCTAATATTCGGCATTTATTCTGATGCCACGGTCGATTAATACGAGCGGAGAGCGACCATCGGCTGTTATGGCGGCCCACACCATCGCCATGGCCGGCGCTTGAGTTCTGGTGGCCAACCGAAGGTCCACATTTTCAGCTTACCTCTTTGGCAAGTAAACACGATCATTTTGTTTGTTTACAAACTGCTGGACAACGCACGTTTTCTCATCGGAGAAAACCAAATTCGTCAGTTCACCACTTTCAAGTAAGCGAAGCGAAGTAACTCTTTAGCTCTTTTGAGTCTGTTTTCTTTCCGTTGCGGTGTAGTTCTTGCACTTTTTGGAATATCAATGGCTTTACCCCGAGCTCATTTTTCAATATTTGCTGAATGGAATATTGCGATATATTCAGCTCACCAGCCATTTTTCGGCCACTGCGACGCGGGTTTCGATCAAGTTGCTTCTTTACTTTTCGAACAATATCTGCTGATGTTGCTGTTTTCTTCCGTCCACTTCCTTGACGTCGGGCTACGCTACCAGTATCACGGTAACGAGCGATGGTACGAGATACAAAAGATTTATTGACATTTAAATGCTGGAGTGCTCCAACGATAACCACTTGTGGTTTTCAAGCCAAATATAAAGAAATCATACTATCACGCATGAATTCAATCATTTTTTCTGGAAATATCTCACCAAAATGCTTTTCTACGCTTGTAAACAGTATAATAAGCTGTCACTGTCGGACGAGTGGCTTAGAAATTACAGCAGTCTGAAGTTGGTTGCAGTTTTTTTCATCTCACCCTGTACATTCTTTGTTTTAATCTCCATTAAAATTCTTTAAACTTTTTTAAAAATAATTGAAGTAAAATCATACAATTGATGACGAAGTTCAGTAAAACTGCTGATATTCCACTTTGAGAAACAATATCGAAAATATTTTACGAATCTTTGCCCTTTTACAGTTCCATCAAACACAACAATAATTTTCAAAAATATCCCTCCAACTCGAACACAATTTTCTGCAAAACTTTGTTTTGTTTGCTTTTCCAAACGAAGAAAAAACGAAAATCTATTCTGCTTGCTTTTCATGTTTCTGTTGGCGTTGTTGTTGTCCTGTGTGTCAAACAAACAAATCTCCGTCGTCATTAATCCTTTTAGCGGATGCAATTTAAACTTTGATGCGACAAAAAAAAAGTATTGAAGACGCTAAGAAAAAGCACAAGGAAAACTTTCAAGTGCAGCTGTTCAAATGACAGTAACTGAGAAGGGGGAGAAAGTACGCAGTAGCAGCTTCAGCTCTCTAATTAAAAGTTCTTTTGCCGTTGGATTTGTTTTCATTTTTTTTTTTGGTGGGGTATGTCGTCAAATCTTCTTCTAAATTACTTTGGGAAAGAACCATAAAGAAAATCCTTGTGAAAAATTATTATGCGTGTTTTTTGTGTCTCGGTGTGTGTGTGTGTGTGTGAATTAAGGTGAGCATTGCTTTGGCGTCACAAAGGGGGAAAAAGGTGTGTAATTAGCTAAATATACGAAATGTTGATTGTTCAAAGCAGATTTAAATAATTCGCTGTATTAAATTAGACAATTATTCAAAGCATCCCCCATTTGATTTTTCAATGGGGGATAAGCAAAATAGAATTTAGCAAAGGGAGAACAAAAACACATCATCGCCTTATTAGATAAATATTGACAATCATTAAAAGTTCTGTGCAGAATTGTTTCGAAGTTTTTTGGTAGGGGGAGAAAAATATAATTTGCTTGCCGGGACTAATCTATAGTAACGACACTGTCGTACAAAATGCGGGCTGTTTATTGTATGAATGTTTTTGGAATTATTTTTATGCAAGCTATGCAATGAAATTGAAAGAGTACAGAGTTCCAAAATCCTTTAAAAAGAGACTGAACGCTAAGCTAAAGAGAAAAAAGCAGCAAGTTCGAGGCGAACGTGTGCTCTATATTGGTGATTTCAGGAAAGCATAAAAATTATTCTCCAATCTAATAAGAATAAATAAATTAAATACAAAACCAGTAAAGAAAAGCCAAAAGTCGGGCGGGACCGACTTTATGATACCTTACGGCACATTGCATATTTAGCATAGCTGTCATAGGCTGTAGTATGCACTACTCTTTTCAAATGCCAAACT